GCTTCCGGTCAATGAGGTCGGAGCGCATCCAAAACGGAACGCAGTCGCCCATCAGCTGGTCATGGTAGAACTGCCGGTACGACTCCAGGGTCTCTTTTGTGACTGGCATTATTCTTCTCGAGCTCTGCTTTGAGTAGTTCCCACTGTCCTTCTTGTTACTTGTCCTCGATGTTCACTGTTGCTTGCTGGGTGCCCCGCGGCGGACAGCACGCAAAATATACATATATACACACATATATATATATAAATGGAAATACAAAAAAAGAGGAGAGAAGTGAAGCTATCCAGCGACTGCAACAGCCATGTGACACAGGGCGACCCTGCAGACCTGATGCGTTCTCGGCCCCGCCGCATGCGTCTGAGAAAAACAGTAATAAAACAACAGCAACGACGTCTTTGGGCCCACGCCTACGCACTGCGTGGGCTGACGGAAGTCAGACGGCAGCCCGGCCGTTTTGGTTTCGCCCCCTCCTGACGAAGCTCATGCGGGCTGAGCCTCAAGAACGGCATGGAGCGTTTCAAACCCCTTCAACTCCCGCAGACGTTCCCGCTGAGCCTCCACCACGCAGCAGCGAGAGAGCGCAATCGCGAGGTTCCTCTGAGCGGCCCTGCCATGAATCCACCGCGTAGACCCCTTCCCGCCGTCACGCTCCAACGTGCAGAGAAGCTCGCGCACACTTCGCAAAGCCTCCAAGAGCACGTCCACGCCGCTCACTGCCGCAAAATGGACGCAGCTTGTGGAGGGCACAAATGACGCTATCAGCGCCGCGTTGCCAAGCGCGACCACGTGCCGGATGCCGGCGCAACGGACGATGCGCATCAACACGGCAATTCGGTCTGCTGTTGCGAGACTCTTTTCCCGCAGAAGGAGGTTCTTCGAGTAATAGCCGGCAATGCATGTACTTGAGTGCTCGACAAGCTCCCACGCAGCAGCCGTCTCCACTGTCTCTTCCTCGTCCATTGCAGCCGAAGTTGTGACGTCGCAAGACTCGAGTGCTGAAAGTGCAAAATTCAGCATCGACCACAGCGTCGCCTCGCCCTCCAGCATGGCATCTCGAAGCACTTCGTCGTGGGGTGAAATCTTTGCCAGCACGGCCATCATCTTTGCATGCACAGGGAGACGCTCAGTTGATTTCCCATTGGCAGGCATCTGTTCAAGTAGCGCACGCCAGGTACGCAAAGCAAAGGAGGAGTCTCCCTTGCTGCTCGGGTCTGTTACGGCTCCCCACTGGGCCACATATTGAGAGCGGGATTCGGCCCGCAAAAGAACGTTGTACACCACAGCGTACAGCCCTTCCTCCACACGCGGGGAAAGAGGTGCAGTACGGTGTCCTTTCTGGAAGGGCGGCAGCACCTTTGACAGGGTACGCGTAAGCTGCGGTGAGCCCATTGCCTTTGCACACGCTTCACTGACGCAGGTGGCACGCACAGCCAAGGAAAGACCAACCTCCTTTAGCGGCTCTGGTCCCGCCGATAGCGCCACCTCAATCACGTGCGGCAGCAGTTCCTCCACGTCCCTTGCAACCGCTGCGCACACGGACGCTCCCCTGAGTAGCGCCTCGAGTATGCCGCAGTAAAAGAAAAGCAGCTGCGGGACTGGCTCTCCTTTACGTATCACCTCCCACGCCGTCACCAGAACGGAAGCGCAGTGGTCATGAACCGGAATGGGGTAACGTGTGGCCAGCCCTTCCAACAGCTGCAGGACGGCAATCGTTAGTTTCAGTGTGGTACTTTCTTTGGTTCCCTGTAATTTCTGCTGAAGTGCAGCCGACAATACATCCGTCAAACTCCGCACAAGACTCGCCACAGTATCGGGCTCCAGTCCCTCGACGCCAGTCTCACTACCCAACAAAACAAGAGCCAAAAGGCGAGCTGCGACGCAAAAGGTTATTCCGCGTGCCGAGAGCCGCTCCAGATCCCCAGCGCTGACGGGATCGACAAGCCCTAAGCAACCACTGAAGAGAGTCATGCAAACAAGTTCGATCAACGGATTCAAACCTCCAAGAAGGACAAACAGCACAGTCGCACCTCGATGAAACAATTGCACCACCCCAAGGCTGTCGCGCACACTTTCCGCAGCCTGAGCCAATAACTTTTTCTCATTTTTTCTCTCGTCATCTCCATCTCTCAGTCCACCCCCCATGGACTCCGCACAAGACTCGCGCAAAGCCGCGACCGCCGCCACCAACAGGTTCACCGCACTGGCCAGACACTTTGCCTCCTCCGGCTGACGGTGCTGAAAACCGGCACAGACACCTTGCTCCGCCTTCGCCCGTTGCAGCCAGTGTGCGAGCTCCCCGGCTTCCTGGCTCGCGGGCTCCAGTCTCAGTGCCTCCGCTGCATCCTTCAATGCGTCAAGAGGGCGGTGTAGGTGTCTTAGTGCTTCTGCCCTTCGTAGCAACGCCTTCACATTATTTGGTTCCTCAGTTAACACATAACTCGCGTCATCAACGGCGCCAAGGTAGCGCTTGAGCTTCAGCTGCACAAGGGCGCGATTGTTGCGGAGCGTGCGCTGCAGTTCCATGTCCACCACATTGAGGTTGACGGCAGTAGTGTAGAGCTCACATGCCCGCGCCCATTCTGACGCCCGCACCGCCTTTGCGGCATCTTCCTTCAGTCGAAGGGCCTCTTCCAGCGAGACCCGCTCCGCACGGGTGTAGGAGGACTCGTCCCCCCTTACTCCCGCCCTCCTTCCTCCGCCCTCCGCCTCCCTCAACAGTTTGTCAATGAACTCGTCGTTTTCAAATCGAGCGTAGTACCTCGGGTCATACCGCATCTTCACCTTCTCACGTTTCGCGTCCAGCTCCGTCTGACGGCGCCGAGCTTCCCGCTCCTGCCGCCTACGCGCGGCCTCCATCGCGTCCTCACGGAGTATTTCCTCCACTGATGCCGTGATATCGTCCACGCGCTCGAGCCAGCCCTCAACCGCCTGCCGCGACGGTGCCCTCCATGCACCCTGCTGGTTGGATGCCATATGTCGCGTGGGTGTCAATCCACCGCCTTTCCCCGGCCTTTCCACCTATCTCTCGCCTGTCCCTCACAGCAAATAAAAAAAAAGAAAAAGAAAAATAACGGTGGGCGTGTGCGTGCACAATGCATTACACCCGCAACGGCCTGCACACAACATCCCTTCGCACACAAACACACACACCTCCATGATTGATGTGCCTCATTCCTCTTCTCTCGTTATCTCGGTGCACGGCATCATTCGAGTTAATGATGTTTCGTCCCTGGGTGTCCGGTGTGAACCACGAAGTTCCACTCGGGTACGGCGCCGGCGCTCAAAAACTGAACGCTGGTCTCTTCAAAAATGGTGACGCGCACTACTTCTGCCAAGCAAGGGTCCACACAGTCAGCCTCAGTTGCTTGCTTCGCCGACAACGTCACTCGCTGCGCATGTAATGGGGCACTGGTGTCCATCGCACGCACGGAAAAGATCTTGTGGCAGATGTCCAGCCCCTCCTAATCCTACAAAGAGAATACAACAATGAGAACTCAAGGTTTGACTCAGTGCACCTACAACTCACCCTCCACGGAAGCGTGACTTTGCACCACACACTGGTGGGCCAATAAGCAAATGGATCCAATGGGGGTCTGCGACGTCACCGGGCCCTTATAAAAAAAAAAAAGCATGAAGTGGCAGTCTGCAGAGCTCACCGCAAATGCCAGACTGTTCCGTGTGGAGATTATTGATTGCATGAATGATTGATAAGTAGCGTGAGAGGGACAAAAAAAAAAAAAGAAACAGCAGTTGCTGCCCTTCGAAGTGATCATACGGAAAACAACAGAGGAAAAAAAAACAATCATAATAAAGCAACGAAGTCACACAAGCCACACAGGCATCTATCTATTGAGCTACTCCTCTTTTCTTCTTCGCTGTGTTTTGCAGACTCCGTCTAGGGGCCTCAACCCCCACACCTCTTTCTGCATGCATGTGCATCAGGACAGACATGACGGACTGTGGCGGAAAAAACAAAATGAAGAAGATCAAAACAAAAACCAAAAAATTACTCCAGCAACTACCGTGAAGATCGTACGTAACTCGGCGACAGGGCCCTGCGTAACGGCTGCCCCCCCACCCCACCCTCTCCTTGACTACGCCTCTCCCCCTCCCCGAGACCACGTAATGTCGCCGTACTCACCTCGTACTCATTTCTTACCGTTAACGACACACCAGCGCGAGCTGGTGTACCTTCCTGTTTTTTTTTGTTTTTTAGCTTTCCTTTTGCTTTACCTCCTACATGTCTTCCTCCACCAACTCGTCTTCCTCCACATCACAGGGCAGGCATCCCGGGGCCGAAGACTTTCGACAGCACGTGCAGGAGCCATCATTGCAGCG